GCTCACCTACCTGTATGTCCTGGGGAATCCGCCCAGAGGCCCCTCCTCAGCACTCACCCAACAAATCAGCTTTGCTCAGTCACACCTCAGGAGGCACCAAGTGGCTGCAAAGCCCCCAGGGTCTCCCACAGGGCGGCAGCAGAACCTACTGGAACCGCAGCTCTGGCTCTCTATCCTGGGGCAGCCACAGTGGGGCTGGATCCTTGGGCTGCTACAGAAGTCCTTCCTGCTCTGAGATGCCCTGGGTCAGCACAGGCAGAGACACCTCCCCCTCCCGGTTGGAGGTGCGCAGGCGCCCTCTGCTGGCCGCCCTGGGAATCCCTAGAATGCTCAAAGCCATGGCCCCTCAGCTGGAGGGACAGAGCATGCTCAGGTCCAGCCAAGCCCTCTCTCTCCGTGACAGATCCTGAGGCTTGGCCCCACCACCCCATGGAAAACGAGGTGTGCCCATCTTCCCAAGTGAAATGGCCTCTACAATGCTCAGCCCTAGGGATGTTGGAGCTTTGGTCTCAGGGAAATCTAATCGCCTGCTTTCCCATCTTCTCTGGTCCCAACATTGGGATCACCTATATCGACCTCATCCACCCTGGTCCATGGTCCACCTCCAACACCTAGACCAGCAACCTCTTTTCATCCTTGAAATTCCTCTTGGTCTCTGCTTCTCTCTACCCCATCTCTCTCTTTGTTCCTGTCACTTTCTAGGACTTGCCCAATCCCCGCACCACTCATTCAGTGTCTCTCTCCCTGACAGTCTCTTTCCCTATCTGTCCCCAGGCCCTCAGGCCTTCTGCTCAGTGCAGCCCTGTCCAAGACCACAGGGAACCACCTCTCCTCTCTCCCCCTCTCTGCTGCCATCATTTGGCCCAGGCCCTGCTCACAGGGCATGACAATCTCATTTACAAAGCCTGCTCACGCTGACTTTGACTGCAGCAGTGAAGTTACCAGCCACTCCTGGACAGAAAAACCTGGAGTCCTTAGTGTCCCAGCCATGACCCCAAAGCTACTAGAGGATGGCTGCTTCCACATACTGGGAAGAAGGAGGGCTTTGCAAGATCCAGGAGCTCTGGTGCAGAATGGATTGGAGTAAATGACCTAAAAAGCGACAGGAGCATACACCCAACTCCTCCTGTGTGGTGAGGGAGGAATGGGTCTCCTGTCATTGGCCTCTGCCCTGTCCCTCCCTCAACAAGGAAACTGTGGGAGGATTATGTGCATCATGGGTCTTACCAAGAAAACTGCCACCATCAGTCCCCCCTCAGAGCCCACCTGCTGTTGGGGGGCAGCTGGTCAGGTGAAACCAGTGCACAAAATCTGGATTAATGCACGGCCTCCTCACCAGTCTCCCAGGGCCCCTAGGAATGCTTCATTCATTCCTCACCGTCACAACAGACTGCTGCCTGGGGACAGACCCCTGTCCTGTTGATCGACACACAACCCCTAAACTAGCAGGTGCCATGTGCTCAAGAGTATCTATCACCTGAGTTAATACAACCACCAACAAACCTACACACAAGATGTGTCCACCTCGCCAGAAGGATTTTTTACACCCTTGCAGGAAAGATACCACAACGGGGCATCTTGCTAATGTCTTCCATCGCCAACATTGCTGCCAGTTTGATCTCTGTGTGTACGGGATTCACACTGTGCACTCGAAGGGGAGTGAGTGTAGGGGCTCCTGAAGGCAGACGCTGACAGAGAGACAGAACTGTGAAAGGTTTATTTGGGGGATACCAGGAGAGACAGAGCACAGGGGACAGGATGGGCAGGGACAGCATTCAGCATTAGGCTGATCTGACAATTTTTTAAATATATACACACAGCCTGGTTGTAATTGCTCAGGGAGGTCTTCAAATTACAAATGTCCTGTTCTGTAAGGCAAATAGATTTGGGTTAGTACACTGTGACCTTATGATTTCCTAAATGCATTTGCTTCCTATACTCTATCTGAGGCCTTGAATGGAGACCTGAGTGTGTGGCTGCCTCCATGAGTCTATATGTAATAGAAAACAATTTTCTTCACCTCTCAGATATAAATCTCTGAATGTACATGTTCTTGTAATGATCTTTTACTTCATTCTTAGCTAGGATCTAAAATTTAATAGAAAATAAAAAGGGGTCTTTGCCTTATTTTTTGAAATGAGGATTGGCAATCTCTGGACTGAGGTGTTATATTCTCAGTGTAATGGTGTGGACTGAAATGAACATCTTTTCATGCTCATCTGCATGGAGCTACTTTCATTTAAACAGTGAGAAGGGGGAGTGGCCAACAGCCCAGATATTTTACATATTCTTTTTCTTTTTTTCCGACAGAGAGACAGAGACAGAGAAAGGATAAAGTTGTGTGCAAACGGGGAGGGCGGAGGGAGAGAGAAACTCCTAGATAGGCTCCACACACAATGCCGACCCTGACGTGGAGCTCGATCTCAGAACCTTAAGATCATGACCTGAGCAGAAATCAAGAGTCAGATGCCTAACCCACTGAGCCATCCAGGGGCCCCTGCAGATTCTTTATGTACTTCAACTCCTATTCTTCTAATGACCTCAGAAACCAATATGCTCCCTTTTCATAGATAACAAAGCTGAGGCTCTATGTAGGCCACACTGAGAGCTGACATTCGGGCTGAGAAATCAGGAACACAGGTAAATCTGCAGGATCCTGTGACGACATTCGGTGAGATGCAAAGTGCAGGCCGAGTGGTGACTCAGAGACAGAGGCGTAGTGACAGGGATCCAGCTAGGGTGGATCCTGGTCAATCCTGAATCCCCCACGAAGAGTCTGGCTCAGGCTGTAGGCCAAGGCAGCCACTCTGCTGATCTCGGTCCCGTCTTCACTTTTTCTCACCGGGGCCCACAAACTCAGGCAGATGAGAATCCCCAAAGGAACCAAATTAAATTTCCCAAATCTCCACCACATTCTGTCACCCAGTTCAGAACCTTTAGAAATCCAGTGGAAACAACAATCTTTATAGAGTATGAACGCACAGCTTTATGGCAACAGTGACGTTCTGGTACAAATAACTGCATTATCCACACTGTGTGATGGACACAGGCAGCAAGTTGGTGTGGATCTCACGGTGTCCTCACACTCACTGCTCAAGCTGCTGGCCTGCCAGGAACGGCCCCCGCTCTACCCGAGAGAGGCCCATCCACTCCCCTGAGCACCTCCATCCTTCTCATCCACAACCTCCTGTTTCTAGTGACTCATGGCTCCCTCTCTTGTCCTTCAGATCCATCACTGGTGCTCCCCTTTTACGGAACACAACATCTATGTCGTTTAACGAATGTGTCCCTCCGTGCTCTCAGACACGTTAAATTCCTAACGTTAAGAGTAGGCTTCATCCCTCCCGGAGCACGGAATATCGTCTCTGTAGAGTGTGCGTGTGCATACCCGCTCTGCCCAGCTTTCGGAGAAGAGCGGCTCTCCTTCACCACAAAGGGACCTGCCAACCACCTCAGTATGAGTGAAAGAACAAGTGCATCAAATGTATCTCCTGAGCAACCTGAAGAAAGTTATCATGTATTTAGCAACATTCACTCTCCCATAACATGAGAGGCTTGCATGCAGGACTGATATTCCTTATGGACGATGCCCCAGCGTCTGTATCTGACCCACATCAGAGAAAAGACAGAAGAGCAGCCCATTGGAAGTGACTCAGCAACTTTCCAACAGCCATCTACACCTGCCTCCAGCATCTGCCACTATTTCTCATTCTCACCTCCCTTACCGGACAAGAGGGTTTCCCACAAGTATCCACTGACTGCCGAGGACAAGGGACAGATCCCTACCCTAATGATTAATCAAGAGACAATAGCCTTGCTTCAGGTGTTTATAAAACTAATGAGATGACAGCTCAAACTCAACACGCTGCAAACGAAGTGTGAGGTGTGTATCATCCCTCCGGGAACAACAAATGTGGACTCTGGATGTGCACGATGGTAAGAAATATATGTGTGCCATTGTGCAATAAAGACACTTCCTTCCCAACAACGGCACCTCCCCCACTGCTCAGTGTGTGGAAATAGCCAAGCACAAGACAAGTATGTCCTAAGAAACTTCAGGATGTTAAAAAGTGCCCAACCAGGATTCCCCTTGTAATGTCAAGGCTTCAGCAAAACTCTGTGTTTCTTCCACCGACACAACCCTAAGGTGATGATCTGGAAACAGAGAAGGCTGTAGGCTCTGAATGAAGATTTAGCATTTTCAAATGTAAATGACACCACACACAGATCCCAGGACAAACCCAACAGATACAAGGTCAGGACAGGGTTCTGCCCAGACAGGAACAGGATTCCAGAAATAATTACAACTAAAAACAGCCACAGTATTTACCTGGTCCTTCTGCAGGACCTTCTAGGGCGGGGTGCTGCTGTTGTCCCCTTGAGCACCACAGGTATTTGAATATGACTGAAGCCCTAGAAGGAATGGAGTTGGATTCAGACTGGCCCTGACCATGCAGGATGTAAGCCAACCCTCTACACCTGCCCCACCCTATTGCACTCTCTCACACTCCCACGTCTCATCCAGATACAGAGAGTTTCTCACAGGTCTCCTCTCACCCATGTGGAAAAAGGAGAGACCATTCCCTCACCCCTAAGGATGTGACCACTCCACCCAGGGACAGATGTTTTCATAACTAATCAATAACACTGGACAACTGGGGCATCCAAAAGAAAGAGTGATGGTTGCACTCCATCCATCCCAGAGCCCAAAATATTGTGTCTGTGCTATGCACCTGGGCAATGCTTTCATGTTTGTCTTTTGCAAAATGTCACTTTTCGTCTCCATGGCAGACACCTGCTGCCCAGTTCTGTAGGGTGAAACAAGACAGTCCATGAGATGGACGTCCACAGAAAGCTGAGGAATGTTACTCTGTCTTCACTCTGTCTATCCTTGCATCCCAAAGCCTTGTGGTACCTCCTCTACATCTTCTCCACTGACAGAAGTACTTAAACTAGGAATATACATTACAACTCATGTCATCCAATTCAGATCATCTTACCATGTGGTGGAGGAACGAGCTGTGGGTGAGGCCCCCCTGTCCACCCATGTGGAGGAGGTTGAAGTAGCCATAGCCAGTAAAGCCTGGTAAACACCGCCGCGTGGGGTAGGGCATATTGGGGGGGCCTTGGAGCACGACAAAACCCTCTCACATCCGTACCGACCTGCAAAACAGAAGACAAAATATTTGGATAAGACAGCCAAAAGTTGCAACACCAAGAGATGAAACCCAAAGGGCAAGCTCTCAGCATCTGGCTCCTTCTCCAATACCACGTTCCAGAAAAGCCGCATCGTGCTAGAAAACTTTATGCCTCTCAGTTGGTACCAACTGTAATAATGCAGGGTTTGGAGGAATAGATGTTACAGGAATAACCTACTGTCACCAAATATCACTACCCCTGTCTGCCAACATTCACTAGCAAGAAGTAGTGTCTTAAAAGGTGAAAAGGGATCATTGGATACGAGTAAAGCAGCATACTCCAGACACGGAGGCATCGACATCCTGGGCAACACTTCATCTTTCCTCTTCAACCACCGTAGATTTGGGTTTGTTAAGAAGGGATAGAATGTGATGAAACTGAATGCACTTGCTCCACGAGGAATCCGAGCCACTTGAGGTGAATCATTTGCCTGCCAAGCCCCTGACTGTCCCCACATGCCTCACTTCCTGACAAAGCAGTCTTCTACTCTCTGCAGTTTCTGCCCAAGGCCACAAAGACCCTGGAGGAATGAGGGGCCTGTGGTTTGACAGGGGGCCTGGAAAAGGGTTTTCTGAGAGGAACATGATACCAATAGCCCTTATTTATGTGCAGCAGCTGTGTTTATCTTAAAACACACTCTTCGGAAATATCTGCACACTGAGTTCCAGAGCAATTTCGTCCAGTGGGAAATTAAGATGGGAAGGCTAAATAAGAGAATTCACAAAAATGTATATGCTTTCTGATGGACAACTCCAGAGCGTGTGATGAGAGAAGAAACCAGCTCTCACAGTGACATAGGACCAAAACGACCTGCTCCTAGAAGCCCAACGGTAGGGTTTGTGAGGCACTGGTCACGCAGCTAATCACTGACATCCCCCCTTCAGAACGCGTGTGCCAGTCCACCCAACAGCTTTGAAAATTCAAAACAGTTGTAGAAAGGGTAACAAGTAGAGGGATTCAGTACAGCATTTTTACCATCAGAAGTAAAACATGGATGACTTATGAAACTTGCCCTATCTAAGAACATTCCAAACTGCAAAACAAACACTATAAAATGGAGAAGAGGTTCCCCTAGTTTCCAGTTGTGAGGATTACCACAGACCTTGTCACAGGTTAATCATCTAACCCCAACATGAACACTACACCAATCGTACCTACTGACTGGGAGTCAGGCCGGCCAGAGACTTCACCTTGGAGTGAGGTGTCATCCTTCTCAAGATAATTCCCCCCACGGGCATTGTGGGTGGGCAGGGGTGGATGGACCCACACACGTACACACACACACACGCACACACAGTGAGCGCCTCGCCATCCTTCACGTCTAAGCACCTGTGGCTTTGGAAGGTGCCACCGAAGGTGATGATTTGTAATGAAGAAGCCTGTCAGCCCCTGGGTGAATTGCTTGCATTTTGAAAGGTAAACGACGCCACAGACAAACTACAGGAACCACTCAACAGACACAAGGCCAGGACTGGATGTGGCTCAGTAAGGGAAGTTTCCGGAACACCTGGTAGAGGCCAAAGTTTCTACCTTGCCCATCCCTGGACGTCTATGAAGCTCAGTGCCCCTGTTCCTCATGGGAGCCCCAGCAGCTTCAGCATCAGACCAAAGCCCTAGAACTGAAGGAGGTGGATTCAGAACCAGCATTGACTGTGCAGAATTCAAACAAAGGCTCCAAACCTGCTGCCATCACATTTCCTTCTCTCCCACTCTCAGGTCCCATCTCAGACATAGAGCATTTCCCACATGTTTCTGCTGACGCCTGAATACAAGGGGAAGACTTGTCCTTCCCCCTCAAACAAGGGACCACAGCCCCCCACCTTCCTTCAGTTGTTTTCATAGCTAAGGAACAAACAGTCCAGGGTCAACCAGCTAAAAATGAACTGAGTTGAGGCGCCTGGGTGGCTCAGTCCGTTAAGTGTCTGCCTTTGACTCATGTCATGATCCCGGGATCCTGGGATTGAGCCGTGCATCGGGCGCCCTGCTCTCCCTGCTTCTCCCTCTCCCTCTGCTTCTCCCTCTCCCTCTGCTTGCCGCTCTGCCTTTTTGTGCTCACTCTCTATTTCTCTGTCAAATAAATAAATAAAATCTTTAAAAAAAATGAACTGAGCAGTGTGCTTCATCCCTCAACAGCCTAAAATGTGGGAAATAGCCTGGGTGAAAAACGTTATGTCTGACATTCTGTAAAATGTCTTTCTCCCTCTACAAGAGACAACTGTTACCCAGATCAAAATGGAAAAACGACACAGCCCCACAATGTAGTAATAGCGTAGAAACTGATGAATCTTGGAATGTCTTTAGCCAGGGGAACCCCTGCAATACAAAGCCGCAGGGCACCACTTCTACATCTTCTCCAAAGTCTCCTCGTGGAGAAAGATGGATATGCTTTGCAAGTCAAGACCTACTGTCCAGATCTCTTTCCAAATGCAGGAGGTGGAGGTGGTCGGTAAGTTTCATGAGGCCAGCAGGGTGCAGGCTGTGAACATGGCCCATAGTAAAGGAACGGTGATAAGGTAGGACCCCTGGGGTAAGGCCCGCAGGGTGGTCCCGGGAAATGACGAAGCCCTGTGCATCCATACAGACGTACACACACAAAATAAACTATAGGCTGAGATGAGACAGAAAAGTAACACCACCAACAAAAGCTGAAACCCAAAGAAACAGGTCTCAGCACGTGAAACCTCTACCACCACGTTCCAAGACAGGAGCATCACTGCCAGAGTTTACCTGTGTCCTGCGTCCCACCTATGGCCTGGGGTGAACAGATGCCATGGGGATAAACTACTGTCACCACATGTTAATATATGTCTGCAACTCTACAGAAGCACGGAATCTGCCCCAAAGCCTTGGCAGAGTTAATACCAAACTAATGAAAGGGTCTATTACAGATGGGCCGACAATCATATCAGCTGATGTGCTGTAACTGTGTGTGAATTCAGGAAAAAGCTAACCCTTAGTGAGAGTTCAGAGAAGCTTTCGGGACAAGGAAAAATGCATAATTTTGTCAGAGTTTTAGTCACCTGCCAGCCTTCCTTCCTACATTCCTTCCTCCCTTCCTTCCTTTTCCTTTCTTCTGGGATTTTATAATAATCTCAGTTTCTGAACTTCAGTGTAGATATCGGGTAGCAGTAAAGTTCCGGAAACGATGAATTAATGAATATTTTTTAAATGTCTGCATGATCCACTCTCAAAATTGAACAGGCTGAACGTTCATTTCATAGAATGTGAATAGATTTGGGGGTCAAAAACAAGTTATATACCTTTGTGCTCTTTATCAGAAATGCATTGTGAACTATGATGACATAAGCAGGAAATTCCATTTTGTCTATTTTTTACTCCTGTGAAGTCATTCTTCTAAACAAAATGATTATTGTAATTTTATTGGATAAATTTTCCGGTATTGACCTGAACTAGAGATTTTTACTAGTAATACGTTTTGACATCAAACTTAATTTTGTTTCTTCCTCTCTTAGATAAAGCCTCAACAATATGATGATAAGTTTTTTGGCTTTGGTTTTATTTGTCCTAAATTCTCAGTACTGGTGTTTGACGTGGGTATAATTAGACTAGGGGTAAATATGATGAATTCTGATGTCTAATTGACTTGTTCACTCCTGAAAATCATTCTCTTTCCCATGTGGAATCTAAATGACAACGTGGAGGGTGTTGCCATCTCTTAGGAGACCAGGAGGAGGAACACCTCATGGGAGGAGGGAGAATAGAAAGAGTAATTTTTCAGAGAGATGTTTAGGATGCAAGCGATGATAGGAACCTGAGGTCTGGAGTGAGTAATTTGCCATGACCTGGCTCTTGGTGAAATGTTGAAATGAGAAAACACTCTTTGAGTCTAGCCAGCAGGCCACACTTAGAGAAGAAGCCACATACTGCCAGGCAGAGCGTGTGTCACAAGAGAGGTTGAAACCATGGTTTTGAGTTTGAGGTGGAGGGAGCCTTTCCTATCAGGGGAGAATGAGTAGAAAGGAACCTGTGCCAGTGGGGGTGACGTGTTGTGTCCCTGCCACAGAGGTTGTGGTGATTCCGCGGTGCTGTCTGTTGATGGCCAGGGTGGCTGCCTGGCACTTAGCAAACCCTCAAATGCTGGTGTTCGTCCCTGGGAGTGCAGCAGTGGGGGTGGTGAGAAGAGAGATCTCAGGGCACGAGAGCGCTCACATTGGACCAATAGAAGAGAAGTTTGCACTTTGAGGTAAGATGAGAGAAGTATTATTTTGTAAAAGATTCTGTTTACTCATTTGACAGACAGAGAGAGCCCAAGCAGACCGAGTGGCTGGCAGAGGGAGGGGGAGAAGCGTGCACCCCACTGAGCGGAGAACCAGATGTGGGATCCTAGGACCCGAGGTGGGATCATGACCCGAGCTGAAGGCAGACACTTAATGGACTGAGCCACGCAGTTGCCCCAGGATGAAAGAATTAAGGGCCAGTTAGAGGAGTCTGTATTCTCGACCTTTGATGTGTTATCCATCTGTGATGGGGCGCTTCATGAGTGTTGTTTTCCTGTCAGGGTGGAGGCTAACCATCTCATGTTGGGATGAGAAAAGCTTCTGTTCCAGGGAGTGTGAGTTATCCAGGCCCTCCCGAGATGGTGTAATGTGGAGTTGGTCCCCAAATATGTTTGATTCCAAAGATCTTGTCTTCCAGAGCCCCCACCTAGATTTCATGACAGGCAATCTGTGAACAGCAGGAAGTCACAGAAAGCCATGGAGTTGTCACTCAATTGCCATTTTGAGCTTTCCTTGTGTGGAATTCCAAGGAGGACCTGGAAATGGACGTGGCGCTGAGCAGAAGCAAAGGACGGTTTTGTTCATTTTGGGTGGTTTGCAGAGACCTATTTTTGCACCTTAATCATTGGAGGAGAGAAATGTTAGTTGACAGTATGCTGGTATTTTCTGTTACATATCTGGGGATGACATCAGCATTTGCATTGATTGCATTTTCCAAGAATGGTG